TGGGTTTTATGGAGCCTGAACCTGTCTGATGGGATGCTAAAGTAGCCAGGCAAATGCATGTGGGGAGAGATCCCCGGGATGCTGTGAAAAAATAGTTGATGGGTGAAGGGTTTGTACCAGGGGCGGACTGACAACTCATGGGGCCCCGGGCAATAGGGGATCATGGGGCCCCTGTGTCCTTGCCCAAACTCAAAAAAGCCTATGAAAAAGGTACCAGGGGCATCTCATGGGGCCCCCTACTGACCCCGGGCCCTCGGGCAGTGCCCGAGTTTCCAAATGGACAGTCCGCCCCTGGTTTGTACTAATGAGGTCAGTGCAGGATGTGTGTGCTAATTAGATCAGCTGATAATCTGCTCCCAGGGTCCTACAGGCTAGTTTGCGTTTGATCTGTTTCTGCAGTGCATTTTGCGTTTTTGCACATGCGTTTTTTTATGTGTTTTGCAGGTTTTTATTTATTTATTTATTTTCTTGTTGCTAGGCAGATTTAAAATGCAAAACACTTCAAAAAAGCAGCAAAAACACACTACATGCTTTTCTGCAGCGTTTCCACTGAAGTCTATAGAACCAAAAACTCAACTTTTTGCATTTAAAAAAAGTCCCTGACCCTTTCCAAAAAATGGACTGGATGAAAACGCGGAGATGTGAACCTGTCCCATAGCAAATCATATTAAATGGACTGTAGGCGTTTCTGCAAAATGCAAAACGCTGTGGAAAACGTTTAGGTGTGAACATAGGGTAAGGTAGGGCCTTGCTGTCAAGATCAAAGCGAGTTTGAATATTTTTGCAACTGAGGTACATTAATTGTATATTGGTGTATTGGGGAGCTGGATTTTATTTAAAAAAAAAAAGTGAACTTTTAACACACCTTTGTTCAATTTCAATACTCTTGTTCTGCATCTAGAGCTTGCTCAGAATATGGCTAAAAGAAAAAGAAGATTCTTTGAGTAAAGTCCAGAGGAGCAACTTTAAAGATCAGAATGAGCTGAGTGTGAATGTGAGGAGGTTGGCGGTGAGTACAGTATCTTAGTTATGTGAGGAATTTCTTGTAGAAAAGGCAAGGGTAGAAATATGCTTGAAGGAAGTGAGGCTTCACCTAGTAACGAGAAGATTAGTGTCAATGTTATGCATCCTTTCCTGTCATTCATTACCATTCATTTTCTTTGGCCCTGAAAAGATTGAAAGCAAACAAAAGTTATTGTATCTCATCATCCCCTTTAATTACTGTTTTGTGTACATTTGTACTGCTCAATGCAGCCGTAACAAATAGTTATTAAACAAACAATAAAGATACGTGTTTAAAATGATGAAGAAAAAGACAGAGCATTATAGTTGAAAAAAAATAAAAAATAAAAACCTGCACACAGTCATTAGTATTTCTCTAGCCCTTTTTTTGCAAGTTCCTCTTTATAAATGGGTAGGGTAAAGCATTCATTATTGTTAAACATTTATAAAAGTAAGAGTATTTTCATTACCAAGTGGGATTTATAAACATTTTCTGCAAATGTGCTAGTGTGCAGAGGAAAACTGTATAGTGCATTGTCATTTTAGAGCTTAAAGGAAGAATTAGGAATGAAGAAGCAAACGTTTGATCATTTGCATGAGTTGGCCCAGGACGTGGTTGTACTTATTGGTAGTAGCAAAGCATCGCAGAAACTGAAGACCGATATGGAAGACCTTGCTCAAAAATGGGATGAACTAGTGCATTTATTGAAGATTATACTAATCAGGTATTGTATCTAAAAGATGTTTTTTTTGCAGTTTGACAAAAGCTCTATAACCTGTTACATCTCTGAGAAGTGTTGCCTGTGTTTAGTTTTTAACCCCTTCGTGATTGAGGGTAAAACAAATTTTAACACCTGAACACAATTTGGCAGCTTTGACATGGGTTAATAAAACTGTACATATCAATCCAACTACTTAGTGTAACCTGGATAATTAGCCTTTTCGTTTACAATTTTATTCTCTAGCAAGGTGAAAAGATAGATTGTATCTTTTTTTCTCCATTCTAGAGGAGAAAACGACATAGGGGCGGGTTGTACGGTGACTGATCACTGTGACAGCATTTCAAAGGCTATTGCAACAATCATGTGATCGGGAAATATGCTTTCCAGTTCCCCCATCATTAGTACAAAAACCAAAGCTCTTGGTGAGAGCTCTTTCACTGTACTGAGAGTGTGCTGTGCAGTGCACTCTCAGCACAAACACAACAGTGTATAGTTAGGTCCATATGTATTTGGACACAGGCACAATTTTAGATTTTTCAGGTATTTATCAAAACATATTTAAGCTATAGTTATATAATGGATATGGGCTAAACGTGCGCACTCTCGGGCAGGGGTGGACTGACAACTCATAGGACCCCCGGGCAATAGGGGATCATGGGGTCCCTGTGTCCTTGCCCACACTCAAAGCACCCAAAAAAGCCTATAAAAGGTACCAGGGGCATGTCATGGGGCCCCCTACTGACCCCGGGCCCTCGGGCAGTGCCTGAGTGCTCGAATGGAGGAAGGGTTTAAGAATTACAGCTCTTAAGAATAGCCATCCCCCTTTTTTCACGGGACCAAAAGTAATTGGACAAATGAATATAATCATAAATAAAATGTTCATTTTAAATATTTTGTTGAGAATCCTTTGCTGGCAATGACTGCCTGAAGTCTGGAACCCATGGACATTACCAAATAATGTGTTTCTTCCTTTCTGATGCTTTGCCAGACTCTAACTGTAGCTGTCTTCAGTTATTCTTTGTTTGTGGGTCTTTCTGCCTTTAGTTTTGTCTTCAGCAAGTGAAATGCATGCTCAATTGGGGTGAGATCAGGTGATTGACTTGGCCATTGCAGAATATTCCACTTCTTTTGCTTCAAAACTCCAGGGTAGCTTTTGCAGTGTGTTTTTGGATCATTGTCCACTTGTATTGTGAAGCGCTGTCCAATCAACTTTGCTGCATTTGACTGAATCCGGGCTGACAGTATATCTCTAAACACTGCAGAATTCATCCGGCTGCTTCTGTCTTCTGCCACATCATCAATAAACACCAATGACCCAATGCCACTGGAAGCCATGCATGCCCATGCCATCACACTGCCTCCACCATGTTTTACAGATGACGTTGTGTGCTTTGCATCATGAGCTGTTCCAAGCTTTCTCCACAAATTTTTTTCTTCCCGTCATTCTGGTACAGATTAATCTTAGTTTCATCCATTCAAAGAATGCTTTTCCAAAACTGGTCTGGCTTTTTAGATGTTTTTTGGCAAGGTCTAATCTGGCTTTTCTATTCTTCAAGCTTATGAATGGTTTGCACCTTGTGGTGAATCCTCTGTATTTGCTCTCGTGAAGTCTTAGACAAATGATACGCCCACCTCCTGTAGAGTGTCATTCACTTGTCTGGATGTTGTGAATGAGTTTTTCTTTACCATAGAGAGGATCCTGTGATCATTCACCACTGTTATCTTCCGTGGACATCCATGTCTTTTTGTGTTGCTGAGCTCACCAGTGCGTTCTTTCCTCAGAATGTACCAAACTGTTGATTTGGCCACTTCTATTGTTGCTGCTATCTCTCTGATGGATGTGTTTAATTTTTTGAAGCCTTACAATGGCCTGTTTCATTTGCATGGACAGCTCCTTTGAAAGCATGATATAGGTTCACAGCAATAGCTTCCAAATGCAAATACCACACTTAGAATCAACTCCAGACCTTTTACCTGCTTAATTGATGAAGAAATAACGAAGGAGTAGCCCACACCTGGCCATGAAACAGCTTTTGTTTCAATTGTCCAATTACTTTTGGTCCCTTGAAAAAGGGGGGATGGCTACTCTTAAGAGCTGTAATTTCTAAGCCCTTCCTTCAATTTGGATGTACATAGCCTCATATAAAACCTGAGAGTGTGCACTTTCAGCCCATATCCATCATATAACTATAGCTTGAATATGTTTTGGTAAATACCTGAAAAAAAACTAAAATTGTGCCTGTGTCCAAATTTATATGGACCTAACTGTATATGCTGTCCCATGGATAAAGACCAACTTCTATGAGGCTGTATATATGCAAACACTCGGAAGGGGGTTAAGCAGTCCTGTATATAGTCATACTTACATGGCCCATGTGTTACATAGATCTTTAGCCTAATATCTCATTTGTAAGGTAAATATTCCTCCTAAAAATAATTAATAAGTACTAATCAGAAAAACATTTTGACCGAATGTTTTATCCTCAGCTACTGGAAGGTTAAAAACCTACTAGCCCTATCAACATTTTTTAAATAATTGACCTTGATCTATGATATGATACAGTCAAAAATGACAGCAAATCTCCAGTTAAAAATAAATCTCCCCTTTTTTTGTTTTCATTCTTCTTGACTTTGGACTCATTCATTTATATCACTTTTAGGTTTTTTACATGTTTCTATCACAGTTGGAATATTGTTCACCTAATATGTATGTTTAGCGCCATACCTTATTTTATTACATGGTCACAAGTGATTTTCCACTCCAAGGGGCAGCTAACATTTTTTGTATTATTTTTATTTTTGTTGTCACACTTAATGGTTGAGTAATTATTTATATTTTGTTGCATAGAATATACACTGTTTGTGTAAGGCAGTATATATCACTTTTTTTTGCATATAAAGAGAAGGCGCTTAGTTTCTCACTAAAATTGTTATAACAGTAAGTTTTAGTTGCCTTTTTAGCATTGTTGAATTATTTGTGCTTAGTTTAATTTCCTTGCATTTTAGTTTCTAGGTATTGGATAATGGTGATTTTGTTCAGAAAACACAATTAGTTAATTTGTGGAGGTTATTTTTGTATCTGATAAAAAATTTTGGTAATAGCAGTGTTACCATTCATTTGCCTTTTGTGTTTAGGTGACTGAGTCAGTAACCAATTTTGGAGTGAAGCAAGTCTCCCGGAAAGTTATTACTGAGACAGTGACTGTAACAGAACACAGTAGTAGCCATCTAATAAAACAAGAGCTCCCTCCTCCACCACCACCAAGGAAGCGCCAATTGAGCCTGGATGCTGAGGAAAAGAAAATGTGAGTTTCTTCTATAAATATAAAAGTTATTATGTAGAATAAAAAGGACAGATTGAATTCACTAATAAACTATGCTTTTTTTTTTTTGCTTTTTTATTTTTCCTGTGATAATTTCACAAGAAAGTAGAACACTAAAAATGGTTTTTCAGGAGCTATACAAATTTGTAAAAGTACATTCCTGGAGCTAAAATAAACTCAGTATAATTTTCCCAAAAAGCTGTGTCTGTTATCATTGAAAAGCTGTCCTAGAACTGCAGCCAAATTACCTTGCCTAGACTGAGATGATTTATTCAGTCTGCTGCAGGCAGGAGGAATAATTTCTTCAGTCTCCTCTTCTGCATTAATCAGACTACATTCTTTTAAGGAATGATGTCTAGGTTTTATTGCTATTATGTGTCACCACCCTTTGCTTGAGATGCTCTTATCACTGAATCCAGGTCTAGACAGCCCATTGCTAAACCTTTCTTCTGCACGTTTGGCATTTAAGCACTTTGTGGTATTCTTAATTACATTTTATCATAAGCTTCCATAACCTAATTTTAAAAAGAAATTATCAGTAACATATTTTATGGACACTTATGTTGTGGTCCGTTGTTTGAAGATTCTCAGCTAAGTTTTATCAAAAGTAGACATTATGGAATTTAATAAAATCATACTTAAATGACCTCTGTCTTTTTATGTTTTGTTTTTTTTTTCCTATTTCCTCAGGTTTGATGAGGAATCTGCTGAGCTGTTGAACTGGATGATTAAATCCAGGGCTGTCATTTTGTCCACAGAGATCAGTAACTACAGAAAGATTAGAGACACATCAGACATAAAAGACATGCTAAAGGTAAAAGGAGAAGTGGGCAGGAAGTGACTATGAATAGGGGTTTTGTTACATTCTGTAGCGGCTAGAGGTATGATCTGTGATTAATCCATCCTTGTATTAATAACTTTGTTCTTAGATCTCAGTGGTTATTGGCTGCCCATTGTATCAAAGGGATTGTAATAAAAGCATTCACTACGTGCTATACTGCAGTTCTCCTGCTGCCAAGTTCAGTGAGTGCATTGACATGTTTGCTTGTATATGTGTGTGTATGTGTGTATATATATATATATATATATATATATATACACATACACACACTATATTGCCAAAAGTATTGGGACACCCCTCTGAATCATTGGATTCAGGTGTTCCAATCACCTCACATTTGTGAAAGAAAGGGTCGCTCTCAGGAGCTCAGTGAATTGAAGTGTGGTACCGTGATAGGTTGCCACCTGTGCAATAAGTCCATCCGTGCAATTGCTACTAAATATTCCACAGTCAACTGTTAGTGGTATTATAACAAAGTGGGTGCAAATGGGAACAACAGCAACTCATCCACGAAGTGGTAGGCCACGTATATATTGGCAGAGCGGGGACAGAGCATTCTATAGTGCACAGTGCGCAGAAGTCGCCAACTGTCTGCAAAGTCAATAGCTAAAGACCTCCGAACTTTGTGTGACCTTCAGATTAGCACAACAGCAGTGCATAGAGAGCTTTATGGAATAGCTTTCCATGGCTGAGTAGCTGCATTCAAGCCTTACATCATCAAGTACAATGCAAAACGTCAGACGCAGTGTTGTAAAAAACACTGCCACTGGAATCTAGAGCAGTGGAGACGTGTTCTCTGGAGTGACAAATCATGCTTCTTTGGCAATCCGATGGACATGTCTGGGTTTGGCCGTTGCCAGGAGAAGGGTACTTGCCTGACTGTATTGTGCCAAGTGTAAAGTTGGTGGAGAGGGGATTATGGTATGGGGTTGTTTTCAGGGGTTGGGCTTGGCTCCTTAGTTCCAGTGAAAGGAACTCTTAAGGCGTCAACATACCAAGACATTTTGGACAAATTCATGCTCCCAACTTTGTGGGAACAGTTTGGGGATGGCCCTTTCCTGTTCAAACATGACTGAGCACCAATGCACAAAGCAAGGTCCATAAAGACATGGATGAGCGCGAGTTTGGGGTGGAGGAACTTGACTTGCCTGACCAAAACCCGATAAAACACCTTTGGGATGAATTAGAGCGGAGACTGTGAGCCAGGCCTTCTCATCTGACATCAGTTACTGACCTCACAAATGCGCTTCTGGAAGAATGGTCAAACATTCCCATAGACACACTCTTAAACCTTGTGGACAGCCTTCCCAGAAGAGTTGAAGCTGATATAGCTCCAAAGGGTGGGTAAGCTCAATATTGAACTCTACAGACTAAGACTGGGATGCCATCAAAGTTCATGTGCATTGGCAATATAGTGTATGTTTGTGATACAGTAATATGCAGAGATTTGTTAGTTAAAAGCTAATTTTTGTTTCCGTGATATTAAAGCAATACAGCAGGGCAGCGGGGGACAACTGCAGCTGACATCAGTGCTGGAGCCATCTAGGTAAGTATGATTTTTTTTTTTTTCAAAGGCATACTCTTTTACGCAATTCTGTTTGTTTTGATCTTTGTGAAACTGAATCTAGAAGTCTTCTAGAAATAGTACACTTAGCACCAGTTAGTAATAATTTTGGCCTTTTATGGCTTGTACAAACCCACTATAGTTACTTATAGACATGAATGGGTGCTCAGAAGGTCCAACTATTGAGTAATTGTAGAGAGCAGCCATGGCACAAGTGTGCATTCCAGTCAAATGTGTATATGTATGCACTGAGCAAACCTCTATGGTGCCAGTTTTATTTAAGTGGGGATTGGTGATAAGTTGGACAAATCTCTCCTGGATAATCAGTTCTTTCCTTGAGAACAGGTGGTCAAGACGTGACTGCAGAGGTTGCATATTTCCAGTTTAATCAGCAAGCAGCAGTCCATTAATGTCTCAGAACACCCTAACCCGGAGGCTACTAAGGACATTAGAATATAATTAAGAAAATGATGTTCTTTTTTAATTCAGTGCAAACCTTTGTTATAAAGCCAAACTAGGAAAGTGTTCTGTAGTTATTGATGCTTATTACATGCAGATACTTTTTTATATAAATTTATCTTTATTAATTTTTACTTCCTTTTACACAGTGTACTATGGCAAAAGTGCTTGATTAATATTGGTTTATCTATAGCTATTCTTAACCTTCTTTTCTAGGTTTTAGAAAGAGAAAGAGCAGAAAGAACCCCCAAGTTTGGAGAGGCTGCTGCGCATGGACAGTACCTATTGGAACTGTGTAAGCAAGGTATGGAGAAGACATACTGTAGTTTAACTTTTATTAATATAGTTGTGGACACATTCTGAAAGAACAATGTATATCATTAAAGAAAGCAAATTATTTATGACCCATTGTTCTTTAGAGTGCTAGTGGATTAGTACTTGCAGTAAGTCTGTATTTGTGAGTTTTGGACAGTCAGCCATTATACATTATGTAGATCAATTTAACAGTGTCCTTTATGTTCAACCAAACAGATAAGAAATTTACAGTTCTGTTAATGACCTTAAAGTGGAAGCTTAGGTATGGCAATGTTTACATTGTTACATCTACACTATCTTCTAGGTTCTGTGCAGAGCAGCTGCTTTGTGAACTCACGAGGTCGCTTGCTTGGCAATGGTTCCCTATAAGGAGAACTTTGAATTTTCTCAAAGAATGCAAAGCATTTGCTCTGATTGGACACGGGGGAGAGGCAGGTAGGTGATGCCATAATTTCTCCCTTGTCCAGTTAGAGAAAACTTGCTATTCATTGAAAAAATAGTGTTCTCTGAATGGTGCCTGTGCTGAGCGAGCAACCTCCTGTGTTCAGTAAGCACCAGGGTAGCTGCTCAGCATGGGACCCAGAAACCAGTGGCAATCACTGGTGCCTTCTACAGTGATTTCCAACTTCCACGGGATCCCACAGATATGGCACATACATACTTGCATTGGCCCAAGCTGGAGCAATGTAGCTATGTAACAATTACGAGAAGCGCACCAACCTTGCGCATTACCTCAGCAACCAAATTTTATTAATTGAAGAATGGTACTCACAAACAGCGAATACAATCAGGCATGTAATCCTCAAAAGGACTTCAGAGATTAGGAGCCAGCGCGAATCCCATCATGGGGGTAGACACTCAGTACACTGACGCGTTTCGAAGGCCATGTCTTCATCAGAGCTCCGATGAGCTCTGATGAAGAAGGCATGGCCTTTGCAGTATTGGTCAGGCTTCCCCAGCCTTGTTTGGAGCTGCACAACCTTGTATGCACTGTTGGTCGCTTTTTTCTGGTTTTGGTTCCATCTGCTCTCCACTGGCCTGGGTCCTTGAGCGCAGGAGAAATTGCATCATCTGCTATGTAACATTTGCCATACCTAATCTTCAGCTTTAGTTGTAAAAGTCAGATTAGGTATTTCACACTTTTTAGTTTAACGCAAATACAGCAAACCTTGAAGTTCTGGTAATTGTAGGTTTCCAGGGGATATATATGCACAGGGGGTATCAGCCTTTTCAGGTATATTTTATATGAACAGTGTGTGATAAGCATTGTCAGTTTCACTGCCCTTGCTAAAGGAATGGTTAAGATTAATTCAGCAGCCGGCTGACTAATGTTTAGTTTCTACAGCTGTTCAAATATTGTTGTGATGGGCCTGTATGACTGCTAGCCTTGCACATATCATTTCATTTCCTGTCCTATTTGTTTTGTCAACTTAGCCCTCCCTGAACTAGCACCTCTCTGCCTTCCTTTCTTTGATATAGGCAAATTCACTTAATTGCCATCCCATGTTGCCAGTACAAATGTGTTACTGTCTTACTTTGTGTGGACATGTGAGATATGTATTGTGGCTTTAATAATTATAATATTAAAGCTACGACATAGCCTTTTACTACATCTTTCAAACAAATAAAAAAAGTACACTAGGTTCTAAAACTTACCCAGTGGAGAAATTACATTTAGTGGAATTATCCAGATGAATTATTACTGTACACTGGTTAGGCAGCCACTGCTCTGTTACTGTGCGCCAGGCCTGAACTTGTGTGACTGAATCCTCTTTTTTCAGAACCTTGCCATGTTGTTGGGCACACTAACAGTTTTAGCTTGCAAAAAGTAAGATGAAGTGTAACGTAAAGGTCTCAGAATCAAAACGAGCCAGACTTCTGTTCAGTATTGACCTGACCACAAGATGAGAATATCAGACGAATGATCGTCCATTTTTTTTTTTGCATGTGTTCTCATATCGTAAATGAATAGGTTATGAAAATTCTCGTAAGACAGAATACAACTTTGGAAGTGATGTAATGTATTGTGGTCTTGGTTGCTCAATTTTTTTTACGGACAAATACTGTACTGATTAAATGAAACTTATTTGCTCTGCTATTGTACGAGAAATATTTTCGTGCTTGTCCCTTCGAATATTTTTGCATGAACTGTCGTGATCGGCTCTTGAATGCTGTGTCTATCAGACAAACGCTTTGAAAGCGGTATTTTTTGTCCCATTTTTTTCATTGTGTGTACAAGGCTTAAGTCTTTTAGTCTTCTGTATTAGGTCAACGTTTATAACCTCCTGTATACTAGAGGATTATCAGACCAGAAGTCTGACAGTTGATCTTGTTGAGGTGGAAAAAATAAAAAAAAAAAATTTTAAACCATGCAACGTAAATGAGAGCTAAGTGCATTTTAGATTCTGTTGCATCTCTACTAGTGTTAAAATACAGATTCAAATTCAACCTGAATTTACATAATTTGTGTTTAATCAAACAAACTGAATTTTTATGTATGCTGGCTCCAATTCTGCACAACAACATTTAAAGTGATTGTAAACCCTCATCTTGTATAGAAACCCATTTAGTTTAAAATAGAAATGAAAGGCAGAACATTTGTGTATAGATATAAAAAAACAGTATAGATACTTTTTTCCCCTTCATTTATAAGTTATCACATACACTCTGTTCTCAGCAGCAAAAGAGCTGGGGGAGGAGAAAAAGCATAACACTGATCTTCCCAGTGAATGGCTGTGCAGGGGGGAGGGGTCAGGACGAGTCTGATCATTGAAAGAGAGCAGAATTCCCAGCATAGTTAAAGAACTGACCACGGTGTGTTCTCCTGCTTAGTGTGGTCAGTTTTTAATAGGAGAGCAGAGTGACTGGCAGGAATACCAGGGAGTTTACACAAAGCATTGCAAAGAGAACAGGATGCTTTTTCATACAAGTATGTGATAAAACAGGCACATATCAGGAATATGAAATGTTGGGTTTATATATTCTTTAAAGCTACCCGTGACAAGTGAGTGGCTTGGAATAAAGTGACTGCTGTCTATCATGGATTTGTTTGTATGTTAAAGTTATAGCATATCCTATTGTATTAAGAGAGGACTTTGCCATTTAAAGTGATTCTAAAGGCTTTTTTTTTTTAAATAACAAACATGTCTATAGTTACCTGCTCTATACAAGGGTTTCGCACAGAGCTCCCTCCTAATGGGTGTCCCCACAGCAAACAGCTTGCTATGAGGACACCCACTTCTCCGCGTATCCATTCAGACATGGAGCTGTGGCTCAGCTCCGCCCCCTCTCTCTTCTCATTGGCTCACTGGCTGTGATTGACAGCAGTGGGAGCCAATGGCTCCCGCTTCTGTCTTAACCAATGAGGAGAGGGAGTCCCAGGGTAGCCAAGACTCCAGTGCACAGCGCTGGATTGAGAGGGGGCTTAGATGAGTATTGGGGGGGGGGGGGGGGCTGGGGGTATGCTGCACAGAGAAGGTTTTTTTACCTTCGTGCATAGGATGCACGAAGGTAAAAAACCTTGAGGTTTTAGAACCACTTTAAGCTTTGCCATATCTGTCCTGGTTGATAAAGCACTATATTGTAAACAGCGCTCTGTCAACTTTCAGCTTTACATTTCAATGCATTCCACTAGGCCCAGCTGTCAAAAAACTCATTGTGAGTGAGAAACACAGTAAAATCTTATGACACTGGCTAGATATAATTTAGTCTATGTGCATACAGTCCATTCATGAATAAATAAGAATGTTCTGTATAATTTAATTCATTGCAAAAAAACTGTTAAGAGATTTAACTCTCTCACATATAGTAAATACTAATTTTGGGTATCCATCATGAGAGTAACATGGGGTAGTTGTTGGTGAACTCTCCTAAACATGCTATTTGTCCAGCTGTCATACTGACTTATTTGGCTTCAGTACTATGAACCACTGACCTGGAACAAGCATGTTCTTAAGGAATGTTGACTTTCTTTTAACTTTATTGATCTAATTTGTTCCAGGTCAGTTACACCGAAAGTAATATATCTAATGGTTCAATATATCAGCCAGTCAACCAGCTGGTTGCTGGTGTGGTAGCCCCTATATTTCCCTTATGACAGGTTTACTTTAAGAAAAAATATATTTTATTGCATACCTGACCTGCAAACAATTACACATCACTGTTGTCTTTTTATCATGTATATTATCTTAAACAACATAAATAATGTGTACAACATGAATTTCATCTAGGATTTCCTCCTATTTCATGTAAGAAGGTGCATTCCAGGCCTTTCATGGTATCATGCTTGTAAATCCTGAAAAGCTGTCAGTCTCCTAAAATTCCATTTCCTAAGATAGATATAATTTATTTTAATGTCACTAATGTGGAACATAGCATGTCTTCAGTTTTTATATTGTGTAGCGCCCTCTGCTGTATGTATAGCACATTCATTCAAACTACAGGTTCATCTGTATCAAATCCAAGCGAAGTGATCAATCCCTATATCCCAATTAAATGGACTGCTTTTTGTATATAAGGCTAAAAACACAGCCATGCAGAAATAGCTTTTCCTGCAGGTCTGTGTTTTAGGCCTTATGTACTAATAAAATGTATGACTTTTTTACACTGGAACTTTCTGTGATACAGACTATCTATTACGAACATCCTACAAGTTCATCTGTACTTGTACATATTTGTTTTATCATATGGCCTATCATCTTCAGATAAAAAGTATTAGTTCATGAGTTGAATGCATAGGGATTTTAAAATTGTTAAAAATCTTCTGATATCAGTTAATACAGTAAATAAATCAAGTTTGGTGTGTCAGCTACTAGTAGTGATGTATTGCATGTGTGATGGCTCACCCTAAGTATCAGACCTAATTTACTAAACTGAAATGCAGAGATGAAATGAAACCTCTATTTTATCACAAAGCTGGATGTTTTAAGAGCACACAGGTCTCTTCAGATCATTGCATATATAATTAGTAAATGTGGCGCAATGTTTACAGTAATACATGATTTAGTTCCTTATCTTCTCAGCATTGCATGGGTTATTGCCAGACATAGAAATAGGCCTTATGCTATAGGGGAAAACAACAGTTTCTACAATTTATGTTTCTGATACATCAATAATTTATGCAACTTTAGGAGTCTGTGGGGTCAGTTCACTAAAGGATTCTGTATGCGATATTGAAGTGATATTACAGGCAATAAAAAAAAACAAACAAACAAAAAAACTCGTTATAATTACCTGGTCTATGTAATAATTTGCACTGGGTGGCCCTGATCTTCCTTTTCATAGGTCCCATGCCGGCGCTCCTGGACCCTCCATCCTGCCAAGTGCCCCCAGAGCAAGCGGCTTACTATGGGGGCACCCAAGCAGGCTCGTTCCCAAGCTGCTGCTGTGCGTGTCCATGCACACACAAAGCCGCAGCCCCCTCTCCTCATTGGCCTAATGGCTGTGATTGCCAGTGGCTTCCGTTGCTGCAGCCTGTGAGGAGGGAGAGTCCTTGGAGAACCGAGGCTCTCGTGCACATCTCTGGATCATGATGGGATTTAGGTAAGTATTAAGGGGTGCTGGAGGCACTGCTTCACATAGGTTTTTTTACCTTCAGGCATAGCCTTTACAAGCACTTTAAAGTCACGTGACTCATTTTTCTGAAATATCACATGAGATAATAGAAGATTCAACTCCTCAAAGTAAAAAATCGAATATGAGGTAAATATTGCAAAAAATATGATAAATCATTAAACTAATTTCCCTTAAGAACACACACATTCGTTATTTATGGCAGTCAGTATTTTTAGCAATGTACAAAATAACAATTCACTGGCTAGTAAGTTAAACATATGCAATGTATTAGTGTGGAAATATTCTGCCCTGAGCTCAGGACTGGAAATAAATTGAAACATTTCACCAGAGGGAAACCATTCTGTGAATTAAAGCACACTACATTGTTTTCACAGTTTTAAAATATTTTCGTGTGCATATATTTTACTGGTGCAGTATAAGCATCTAAAAAAAATTTGCAAAAAAATAACGCTAAATTTAGGTATTTAATATATGTGCTAAATAACACTTTTTTTAGTGTATTGACTACTTTTGAGATAAATGCTGCATGAGTTATTTTAACTCAAATATGTATGTGGAATTTATTTCTTAGTGAATTGAACCTTTGTTCAGAGTAACATTCTCTTTTGGAAACTTAATTAATGAAAACTTTATGTTAAGTAATTGGTAAAAATAAAAAATTGTAACGATAGAGAAATAGCTGAAGCAGTACAAGGGAAATTTTTGCTTTTTCTATAGGCCTTAATATCATATTTATGCATACACATATCATGTGTGTATTTGTGTATGTTTGCTATACTCAGTTCTTTCTCAAATGAGTCTAGATTAAGTTTTTTAGGGGCATTTTCTTCGCAAAATTTTGACAGCAATGTTATTCTGTTATGCTAAGGTCCACCAATGAAATGGCCTGGGCATATGTACAAGGTATTTGTGAATGGGAAGGGGGCTGTCCTGCTCAAACTCATGAACATTTTTTAAATGAAAGCCAAACTCCATGATTTTTTTGACTGCCTCTATACTTAGCTTAGGGCAGCACAGTGGCTTAGTGGTTAGCACATCTGCCGTGCAGTAAATGGGTCATGGGTTCAATTCCAAACCATGGCACCTCCTGCATGGAGTTTGCATGTTCTCCCTGTCCTTGTGTGGGTTTCCTCCGGGTACACCGGTTTCCTCCCACACTTCAAAGACATGCTGGTAGGTTAATTGGCTCCTGTCTAAATTGTCCTAGTTTCATCCCTAGCCATGCGGGATCTCCTGCATGGTAGGGGTTGGGGAAAGACCTGGCAACCTATCATGGAAAAAGTCGCTTACGAGTGATGGTCCATGCAATCGCCAAGGGTCGGATACCTAAGATAGAAAAATTAACAATTAAAAAAAAATGTCCTAAATTCCAGGCATCATTTATGGTCAGTCACATGATAGGATGTGTCCTCTTCCTCCATCTTCTTCTCTTCTTTGTCGATGGATGGTTGTGAATCCTGCAGAGAATAGCTCATGTTGTGACATAACAACTGCTGTGACGTGAGCACTGTTCTCTGCAGCATTCTCAGCCCAGGCCCAGGCTGGCTTAATATTGCACCCAAAGAGGGGTTTCCATGATGGCCTGGGATCACAAGTGAGATGAACAATGCTGGAAGTCATTTAACCTGGAAGAGGACTGGAGCTGGAGGACACACAGGCAATGGTAGTGGGGAATAGTAAAAGAGTGAGTATTATAGGAGGTGAGTATTACAGTAAAAAGCTAAATTTGTTATTTCTACAGGTTGAGGATAACTAGATGTAAAATTCTTCATAAAAGTTGGAACTGGGATTTAAATTGTTATAGACTACTGAATCTTTGTATATTGTGATTTATATGTATTTTTACAGAAAGGTTCCCTGAAGATGAAGTGAAAGTGTCCCTGGAAACACTGCAGGCTGAATGGAACAGCATAAACAAACAAATAGAAGAGCTTCATAAGGGTATTTTATATCAGGATGCTATCACTGACTATTTCCAGGAGTTGGATAGATTAGAAGAAAAGATAAGACAGGAAGAGGAATGGCTGAAGACTCAGTCTTTACTTTCCCAGGACCTTCCCTTGCAGGCAATGAAAGACAGCACACAGGTAAGGATTTTTTTTATAGTTTTGCTTAGTGAACTGCATTATTACACACTTTTTCAGCTTTACTTAACTATCATACTTTTTAATATCTATTTTTTGTTACTGTTTAAAATAGACATGGTACTTTCACAAAATAACAACACTTAACACAACACAAACTGGCCTATAGAGGCAATATATATATTTGTAATGGGCAGTAACCCAAATTTTAGTTTACACTAATGTTGATAGTTAACAAATGATTTATGATTACTAAAGGTTAATATATATTACACATCTTCATTATCCTTCACCTTGCTTCGCTTTTTAAAATAACCCTGTAGCAAGGCTTATTTTAGGCTGTATAGATGTTTTTATTCAACTCATTACATGCCACCATGTAGTGAAGTTATCATTATGTAAGAAGATTTAAAAATGTGTGAATATTAATGAGTGTGCACACAGCCCATGTGCTGGCATTAGTCGCAGCTTCTGTTAAGGCTCTTTAAAACTTGCTGGTATTGCAAACATTTCCCAGGATACATCACAGTACATTAGTTTGGCTCTAAATAGCCATATCTGGTCTAGTGTAGTAACTCTTTTCCATCCAAATATCTGTTGGCATTAAAATATATATATATATTCATATATATATTTATATATATATATATATATATATATATATATATATATATATATAAACGGAGTAACAGTCGTTCAAGGATGACCCATCAATATACATTACATAACACTCACAGGTTCTAAAACAAGTCATATTTTATTACAAAGCATTTAAAAAAAACAAAAGTGGGGGCAAAGGCCCATAATGTAATCATACACAAATTAGCATAAAACCACAGTGGCAATTTTCATAAATTGGTTTGTTCTACGCGTTTCATGGTCACTGTCACTTCCTGAGAACTCTGTATCTTCATATGACAAAATACCATTTATCAATACTCTATCTGAAAAAATAAATACACATAGATTTGTCAAGTGCACAAATCTGCATAGGGTCTATATCAGGGGTGGGCAAACTTTTTGACTTGAGGGCCGCAATGGGTTCATATATTGGACCCGGGGGCCGACCAAGAGTAGATGTAATGTGTCATCCATAGTAAGTATAGTAATATTCCCCCATAGTAAGCATAGTAATTAATCCCCCATATAGTAATTCATCCCCATAGTAATTCATCTCCCATAGTAATTCATCCCCCTTATAGTAATTCATCCCCCATATAGTAATTCATCCCCCATATAGTAATTCATCCCCCCATGGTAATTCATCCCCTATATAGTAATTCATCCCCCATAGTAGTATTTCATCCCCCATATAGTAATTCATCCCCCATAGTAATTCATCCCCCATATAGTAATTCATCCCCCATAGTAATTCATCCCCCATAGTAATTCATCCCCCATATAGTAATTCATCCCCCATATAGTAATTCATCCCCCATAGTAATTCATCCCCCATATAGTAATTCATCCCCCATATAGTAATTCATCCCCCATAGTAATTCATCCCCCATAGTAATTCATCTCCCCTATAGTAATTCATCCCCCATAGTAATTCATCCCCCATATAGTAATTCATCCCCCATATAGTAATTCATCCCCCATATAGTAATTCATTCCCCATATTAATTCATCCCCCATAGTACTATTCCCCCCCAAGTAGTAAGCCAAGTCCCCCCTGTGTCAATTCACTTACCTTTGCTCCGCGCGTTCCTCTCGCCGTGTAGTAAGCCTAGCTCCCCTCACGTTCATCACGCTGCCCCGCCTACACACATCCTGACAGCCAATGTATCACGCTCCGCGGGCCGGATTAAAAGGTCCGCCGGGCCGTATACGGCCCGCGGGCCGTAGTTTGCCCATTGCTGGTCTATATAAATAAATACGTTTTACTTTGCTTGTAAACATAGATAAGCAAAGTAGAAGACAAAAATGCACAAAAAAAAGAAAGAACAAAAAAAGGGGGCAGAGGAGGGGAAAAAAAAATAAAACTACTTACGTGTCAAAATCAAATATTGATTATTTTTCGGTTGATGATTCTCAGTACCAGGCTGGTTAAGTGCTGAGATGGATATGTAATTTCCTCCAGACACATCTGTTTAGATCTAAAATATTATTTAAAAAAATAACTACTACACTAGGCAATATAACCACTATTACAACTTGGGATAAGGAAATCAGATGGGAGTGTTCCATTTAAAAACTGAATATCTCATCTGATTTTAGTACTCCCTATGAGCAATATTATCCTGTTATTTTCTCTCATGAGCTGGACAGCTGGACTATGCTGTATTCTGAGACTGTTGTGGTTTTGTATACATTTTCTTTAATTATGTACTGTAATAAGGACTAAGAAATGAACACTTTACAGATATTTTTTTTTTTTCGTTCAAGTAAATTTGTAGTCTTCCATCCACCCAGTATCTGAAGCTCTAGGCTTAATTTCATCTGTCTTCATACCACATGTTGTAAAGCTGAAATGTACAAATGCAAGTTCATGAATCAGAGCAGTAACTTGCCCCTTATCTGACAGCTCTGTCTGAGGTTTTAGTGACATTGCTCAAGCATAAAGTGTTACTAAACCCTAGACCCTGCATTCACTATATCTGGTCTCCCACAGTACACAGAACATGGAAATGCAATTATTTTAGTAAATATAAACTGCTAAATACCTTTTCTCATCAGCAGTTAGAGCAGTCTTATGACTTCTATTAGTGTCAAGCAGAGCACTGATTAAAGCTTGTAGGAGGAGTTTTCATTCTCCCCTATGAGGCTGCAGGACCCCTGACCCTCCGTCTGGACAGTCCTGATTGGCCCTGTGCTGATCACACTCTCCCAAGATAAAAAAAAAACTCTCTAGCAATACACACCAAACTGAGCATGTGCAGCTTTCCCCAAACTTTTGGGGACTGTAGAAGAAGAGGAGGATCAGAGACAGGATCAAACTGCCTTTTACACAATGTGGAAGATTAACCCCTTAGGTTCCACAAGGAGTATAACAAACTGCATTACTGCATATACATACTTAACTGTTGTGGGTTTAGTAACACTTTAAAGGCAGGAAGCTTCTTCTCTACTTTCTTTTTTTTATTTTTTTATTTAAGGATATTAGAAAATATGTAGATACAAAGGAACACAACCAAACAAACAGTTGACTGGACTTAGCATATTTAACTCTAAAAGAAAACAACAATATAAAACATTAGAAAGTGGAACAAAATAACCATCTGGGCATTAGGGCAGTATATCGGTGGGCATTAGGGCAGTATATCGGTGGGCATTAGGGCAGTATATCAGTGGAGGTAGGTTCAACACACCTAGTGTGGGAGTATTGCACTAGCTGATATTAAATATAACTCTCGGCTTCAACTCTGAAGTACAGAGCAAAGACTGAAGGGTACGTCTGACACCAACCAGAGAGTACCTGTAGTTGCTCTGGTGTCTGTACTTAGCCCATAGTACTCTGGAAATTTTGTATACCTATTAAATATTTATCCGCAAAAGCTGATATAAAAGCTCATTATAAGATTTACTGAACCAATTATTTTAGTTTTGCATATAGTGAGGAGGACAATTTGCAAATTTCACAGACAGCAATAGAGACCCTTCCATGCTCCATAGAGAAATAAACAGACTTCTTTTCTTATCTTTTTTGGCTAAGTAAGGCAGAAGCTAAGATATAATAAAATTGTATATGCATTGTGTGTGCCATTTACCAATACTCCGATAATGTAATATCATTTTTACAGCTTCGCTTGGCAAAACTTTGTGACTTGCACTCAGAAGTTGATCATTTAAGATCAAAAGCAACTTCCCTTAGCTCCCAGCCTACAGCTCCTGTCTTCCTTGAAGCCAGTGTGAATAACATCACTACCCACTATGAGAGGGCAAAGAATCAAATGGAAATAGAACTCCAGCAATTTCAGGAAGGTTTGTATATATATATATATTTGCCAGATGCATGCATTGGTTCATACACAGACAGATGGGATTGTGGAGATCCCAGCAAGCATACTCTGAATCAGGGGCGGACTGACCATTTGGAAACTCGGGCACTATCCGAGGGCCCGGATTCAGTAGGGGGCCCCATGAGATGCCCCTGGTACCTTTTTCATAGGCTTTTTTGAGTTTTGGCAAGGACACAGGGGCCCCATGATCCCCTATTGCCTGGGGGCCCCATGAGTTGTCAGTCCGCCCCTGCTCTGAATACTTCTAATTCTGATACTTTAACTCTAATACTTGCATTAAATACTGCAAAGGTTCTATGTAGAACATGCCATTTCCTCATGTGTGATAAGTCTTCCCTTAAACATGATTTTTAGGGCTGGTTCACACCACAGAAATGCAGTCTGGATGTGTTCCAGATACATTTCTGCATGCACGTTTTTGTTGCATTTTACCATGTTCCAGTACAGTTCCTTTCAGAAAAAATGCAGCTTTCTACTTTTGTTGACTGCACTGAAGGCACTACAGTGGTTTGAGCTTTACCATTGGAATCCATGCAATTTACTCTTCGTGCACAGTGGACTGCATGTGGTCTAAACCAGCGCTTAAAGCAACTCATTGCCAATGTTGATGTATACAAATATATGAAGCATTAAACATTGCCAGGTCACATCATCTGCTCAGCATCAAGTGAGTTTTCTGCCATGATCCAGATGTTGTAGTGAGGGAAGACACCAATAGTCCTCCCTTTCGGGCTCAGGGCGAGGAGGGATCGGAGATCGTTCAAAGGGGAGGTCGGCGAGCCGCTGTGCAGCATTGGTTTTATTTCAGCAGAACGGCCGCTCCTGGACACTTAGAGCCAACAGACTGGAGCTGCAGAGAGGGCCCACCTTCAGTTTGCTTGTGGCGGAGCAGTC